TTGATGTTGTTGTTGTTTCCTGCTTGCATTGCTGCCTCAAATAATATTAGGTTCTCTTACTAGGTAGGAAAAGAATAATACACTGTGGGGATCAGTCTTTGCTCATGTTTCAGAGCTATGTGGTTATATTCGTTGTCATAACTGTGGTCTTCCTCAGCTTTCATGCATATTTTTGCTAGTTGTTCAGAGATTTTTTTTTTTTTTTTTTTTTTTTTNTTTTTTGAGAGGGAGTGTTGCTCTTGTTACCCAGGCTGGAGTGCAATGGTGTGATCTCGGCTCACCGCAACCTCCACCTCCTGAGTTCAAGCAACTCTTCTGCCTCAGCCTCCAGAGTAGCTGGGACTACAGGCACGCCACACCATGCCCAGCTAATTTTTGTATTTTTAGTAGAGATGGGGTTTCACCATGTTGACCAGGATGGTCTCGATCTCCTGACCTCGTGATCCACCCGCCTCGGCCTCCCAAAGTGCTGGGATTACAGGCGTGAGCCACCGTGCCCAGCCGCATTTCTTTAATACATTTGCTTTCTCACTTAGTTTCAATATACACCTCACCTCATAGACACCCCTAAGTTACTTTTGCTATGATAATTCTGTCTTTGTGCTTTCTTCTACCTTCATCCCTTGCTACATTTTCTTGTCATACTGTAGCCCTGACATTTTTTTTTTAGTCTCTCTGACCTCTTTTGTGAAGGGAACTTTAATATATCAGTTTCTTAGATCTTTGTTCCATTGTATATTAGCATGGATCATCTTTTGTAGCTGATGCTTCATGTATAAATAATTTCTCCTGAATAATTTATCTGTTCATTTATCTTGACATCTTGCTTTTCCTGAATACAGAATTGTCCAAAGTATTGCCTGTGTCAGCCACTTGATGCACTTTTTTTAGTGCTTTAGCACATTAACCATTGGACTGTGTCCACTTAGCTCTTAAATATTATAATGCCTTTAAAAAGCTGGCTTAGCACAGAACTTAAAATACCATTCTAATCTTTCTTTTTAAGGTTTGCATAATTTAGCAAGGTTTCAAGTCAAATGTAGGCTGAAAAGAATGATTGCCATCAGATACTAAGTTTTATTTAAACAGCACTGTTACTCTGAAACATTAGCTAATGTTACCACTAAATAAGGGTAATAGTTACCTTTTTAAAAACGAAGTACATAGTTGCTGTTATTGCATATAAGTATAGTAGCTATTTGAATTTATGTTTTTTTTTTTTTTTGGAGACACAGTCTTGCTGTGTCACCCAGGCTGGAGTGCAATGGCGCAATCTCGGGTCACTGCAACCTCTGCCTCTTGGGTTCAGGCGATTCTCCTGCCTCAGCCTCCCAACTAGCTGTGATTACAGATGCCTGCTACCATGCTGAGCTAATTGTATTTTTAGAAGAGACGGGGATTCACCATGTTGGTCAGGCTAATCTCAAACTCCTGACCTCAGGTGATCCACCTGCCTTGGCTTCTCAAAGTGCTGAGATTACAGGTGTGAGCCACTGCGCCTGCCCAGAATTTATGGTTTTTACCTGATTGTTTAAAAAATATTTCCAAGTATAGATGTTCCTTGACTTACAATGGGATTACATCCCAGTGAACTATAATTATAAGGTGGCTGGGCACAGTGGTCCATGCCTCTAATCCCAGCACTTTAGAAGGCCAAAGCAGGAGGATTATAGTCCTGAGCCCAGGAGTTTGAGACCAGCCTTGGCAACATAGTGAGACTTCACCTCTACAGAAATAAAAAATCAGCCCAATGTCATGGCGTGTACCTGTAGTCCCAGCTATTTAGGAGGCTGAGGTGGGAGAATTGCCTGAGCCCAGGAGGTCAAGGTTGCAGTGAGCCAAGATAATGCCCCTGCACTCCAGCCTGAGCAACAGAGCGAGACCCTGTTTTTAAAAAAAATAAAAGAAAGGAAAAGGCCATGTGCAGTGACTCATGCCTGTAATCCCAGTGCTTTGGGAGGCTGAGGTGGGCAGATCGTGAAGTCAGGAGTTCGAGACCAGCCTGGCCAACATGGCGAAACCCTGTCTCTACTAAAAATACAAAAATTAGGCAGGAGTGGTGGCAGGTGCCTGTAATCCCATCTACTCGGGAGGCTGAGGCAGAAGAATCACTTGAACCCGGGAGGAGGAGGTTGCAGTGAGCCTAGATTATGCCACTGCACTCCAGCCTGGGTGACAAGAGCAAGACTCTGTCTCAAAAAAAAGCAAGAAAAAAAAAGATCAGGCCGGGCGCGGTGGCTCAAGCCTGTAATCCCAGCACTTTGGGAGGCCGAGGCGGGTGGATCACGAGGTCAAGAGATCGAGACCATCCTGGTCAACATGGTGAAACCCCATC